TGTATCTTTGGTTAAAATTTTTAAGGATGAAGATAGATGAATCATCTAGCTCAATATAGTATCAAATAATAAATAAGTTAACTTGGCTACGTTAAATAGTTTTGGATCTTTCAAAACATTCCAGTTCATAAATGCCAACTATTTACAGGCAATTTCTAATGATTGAACTTATATTNTTTATTAGATAAAAATATCAGGTGAGATATAGCTGAAAGGCTAGTTTATGTAGCCTTTATGTTAATATAGAAACGAAATATCGTGATGCCAAAGGCCATATTGAAAGCATTCATGTTTTAACTCTTCAATCAATAAAGATAAGTTTGAAGTGTCAAGTAGGATGTTATCAGAGAGCTTTAACCTCCGAAAGTACTGTTAGAAACAGTAGCGAAATATTGATACTTCTCAATCAAAGACAGTGACTGTATTGATATATTATTTAGTACTGTTACTATCGGGTAAATATTGAGTTAAATAAAAACAGTTTTATGTTCTAGAATTTATTTAAATACTCAAAAATCTGACTTGACATATAATATTTTCATCAGATGTAATATGCCGCTATAATAGCCTACTGATGTTATTTTGTTATATATTTTTAATAAATTATAATTTAATGACTTTTACTAATTTTCTAACTGATAAGTTACTATGTAATGTACTGTACAGTACTATACCTACCTGATTTATTCATAGATAAAGCTATTAAGATATGATTTTCCATTTTAAGAAACTTCTAACTTACGCTATTTGTTAACTGTAGGCTATCAGAATTGCCATTTTATTATGCAAATTTAGAAAAAGTTGTATAGAATTACTTTAAATTTCTGCTGTATAATATGCTGTAAGGATTGTAACGATAAGTTAATTCTATAACTTCTAGAATATTTAAAATGTTTCTCTTTCAGCAGAAACAATACAAAATTTTAATAATTTACCTTATATTATTTCAAAATATTTACATTATGACTTCATTCAAAATAGTGAAGAAAGAATGAAGTTATTTAGACTTATAAGAGCAAAATTTGATTATTGATGAATAGGCCTACTATTTATGCATAATTAAATCTGCAAAATGTCTGTACAAAGAGTTGTAATATTAAAACGATAGATTACGAGAGTCATTTTGGTCTACATAATCTAACATTGATTATTTAAAGCAGTCTTTTAGATGACAATCCCGTTTTAACATACCGGAAGAAAGTGACATTCCCAGGAATACGATTCGCTACTTCCTTGGGGTCGCGATCTACTGGTTGAGAAAAAAAGATGTAGGCAATATTGTCGGATACATGAAAAGCTCGCAAATGTAATTTGTTATATAAATTATATACTGCATAATTGGCGTAGAGCTAAACAATGTATCATTCTGTAAGTTTGTCATTAAGTGAATACTCCATTTAAGCTTATAAGTTATGCAGACTTTTAAATTTAGAAAGTGGAGCTTCCCAAGTTTAAATGGAGATGACGATACGTTAACTGGATAGAATATAATATTAGTCGATATGAATTAATTTAATTACATAATGTCTAAACTCTTAAGTATTGTTTCTATTTTAAAATTTAGATCTACTTTTAAATTCGATTAGCTTAAGGACCATAAAATAAGTTTATTTTAAATTGCTTCATTATGTTTTTAAAGTAATTTAAACGTGTCCTAAACAAAGTTTTATGCTAATTATTTATTTTTAAGATTAATTGTCTTGAAATGTCGAGAAAAAAAATGACAAGATGACATTTTTAATTTATTTAACGACAGAATAATGCCCCCGAATCCAGTCTAAAAGCAGCGTGTAAAGTTATTCGAGTCGATCTGAACTCCATTCTTTTATTCGTAAACTTTCAATCGTGTTAAATTTGAAAAGACATGAAAGAAACTTTCATCAGTAGTTTGCATGCAACGAAGTTGTGTGCGGAGAATAATGAAGATGTAGACAGAAGGAGGAGTCGTCGGGACCATGTTGCTGCTAACATTGGAGTTGTTTATCCGACCGTATCAGATAGAGCGTCTCAATTCGCATAAATTTACAAAATTAACGGTTGACGTAAGCTTTACTTGTCAGAATCGTAAATAGATTTTATCATTTACTGTGCTTGTGTCACGGAAAGATTGACCAGTTGGGCTTGACAGGTAATTTCATTGGCAAAGACCCTGATACCAGCATTCAACTGTGGACGGTGCACAAAGCATTTCTGCCGACTTGACTTCGTACAATACGGCAACAAGGCAAGCTTCTGATTTGGCACTGCTTCCGTTATTGAAGACTTTCATATGTTCACTGACAACTGATAGCGAGTTTTGTTGACGGGACAAAAAATCAAGGCGCTTCTCATAATTCCTCACCGTTCCGGTAATTATAAGATGCCGTTTATCTAAACATTTTAAATATTTTCTATTGAGTGATAGCCGTTATTCGCTAATCTCTATGTTTCTTTTCTCATTATGATCATCCTCTCCTCTTCTACAAGTATCTTAAAGGAGTAACTTGCCGTTCCGCAATTCTCCTATCATCTACAAGTTTATTATTATTGAAAATCGTTTACTTTAACTTAATAAGTGATAAAAACTAAACCTTTTCTACTAATCTTTGCATAATTTCTGTTACTTAATATTTTACGATGAGTGGGATGCTAAACTTTATACGGCACACATTAAGCTTTAAGCTATCTTCCAGTGTATAAATGGTCCAGCGGATCTTTAAATTATTTATATATTAATTTTCAAAATTGCTAACTAACAGTTTTACGTGTCTGAAACTATAGAATAATTATGATTAATTTGACTAAATGATTTAAAAATCATTCGGTCTAATTGCTTAGATTACTCATTATTTTAGGTGAATTAATTGAATTATGGATCTCAATAGTTTAAAAACTGAATTCTGAAATCCCGATGGTTGATTAACTCTTAATTATAATATTAATTATCNAAAAAGTTTATTTATTTTATATAATATTAAAAAATATATTAGATAATTGTTAGCAGATATTTTAAATATGTTCTCTGTTGTGAGCTGTATCTTTGGTTAAAATTTTTAAGGATGAAGATAGATGAATCATCTAGCTCAATATAGTATCAAATAATAAATAAGTTAACTTGGCTACGTTAAATAGTTTTGGATCTTTCAAAACATTCCAGTTCATAAATGCCAACTATTTACAGGCAATTTCTAATGATTGAACTTATATTTTTATTTTTATATTTTTTTATTTAATAAACTATAAATTTATATTAAAAGTAAATTCATTTATCTCTCAAATTCTAATAAATTAATCAAATGATTACAATCGATATTTATGATAATACCTAAGTAAGTATAGAGTAGGTTGCAATTTACATTAGCTCTGATCTATGTTATAATTTATATTTTGTTAAATTTTCTAATTAAAAAACATGAAAAGTTATATTATATCAAAAATATCTTTAGGCCTACTATTAAAATTATATTTTTCACCATGTTTTAGGATCTAACTCAGTAAAGGCTAATGTTACCTGTGCTAGAATAATATATTTTAAAATAAAATTAAGCTACTGTACTTGATTTATTAAATATACAAAGACGGTTAATAACTTTAGAAAGTAATCGAATTTTCGAAATTAAATATTAAATTTATTCATTTATAATTTATTTTTTAAACTTAGAAATCTTTGAAATTTATTTTGCATATAATTTCAATAGTAGATAAGCCACTATCGACAAAACATATTCGCACCACGACTCTTGTCATAACAAAATTTAAGTGAGGATTATCAAATACATTCAATAGCCTTAAGGAAATCTGCTATTCTTCTATATTAATTATTCTGATAACATTTTAAAAATGAATTTTTAAGAAGTCATCATAAGCATCCATTTACACTTATTTACGTATAAAACCAGTTAGTCTAGTTTGATTACTGAACAAAGATTCAGACTTTTAGCTATTAACCTAATAAAATAAGTTAAGATCTTTTACTAATGATTAATAATAAACTATTTTTAGAAGTCCTTTCTTCATCACTCTGATGTTTTTTCATCGTAAATAGGCCTACGCACAATTATTAGCCTCGTATATTTTATTTTTCTAATAATTTTTATTATTATTATTTTATTTTATGTGCTCGCCAGTGGCCGTTGTTCAGAGGTTTGATTGTATATAACTAGTTTTATTAGCTGCTGATTGTTTTTAGGATTAAGATTTACTCATTTTTTAATGTTTTCCATATAAACTATAAGCTCTGGATTTACGTAGAAAGATATTATAAATATAGTCTATAGTATCCAATTAAAGTAATTAGGCCTAAATATAAGATGAAGTACGAGTTAGAAGAAGAGATAGTGTCTAAATTCAGGCCAGATAGAGAGGATGTGCCATTTTGTCAAACCTTAGTTTCAGGGGAGCAAAAAATTTAGTTTTTCTTTCTTTTTAATATAAAACACAATAAGAAAGTGATAAACATGAAAATTTCTTTTGGTAAGTGATAGAAAAAGTTAATTTTTATTTGTTTTATTCATATATTTTTATAGCTTTACTGAGAGGAGTGAGGCCTACATTTATAAGGAGTTTGCTCCAGATTCTATCATAAGGTCGTTTGTCTCCGGCCTCACATTTATATGTGTTTTAATAAAATCTGTGACAAATTAATCGTTCCATTGCATTTATTATGTATTAAGAACTTTTTAAATTAAATTTTATTATTTAAAAAAATACAATACAATATTTTTATCGTTTATATTAATATTTAAATATACTGGAACCCATATTTCTCTTTATTTGTGAGAGGTTCTGTCTCTAATAATTATTATTATTATTATTATCAAATATCTTACCTCTANACTTTTAGCTATTAACCTAATAAAATAAGTTAAGATCTTTTACTAATGATTAATAATAAACTATTTTTAGAAGTCCTTTCTTCATCACTCTGATGTTTTTTCATCGTAAATAGGCCTACGCACAATTATTAGCCTCGTATATTTTATTTTTCTAATAATTATTATTATTATTATCAAATATCTTACCTCTATCGCTGTCGCTGTCTCTATCTTCTGGATCGGTGATGGCCATCCCGAATATAGGTCCCGGAGGAAGATACGAGATTGAAGTACCAGTGGCTACAGCTCTTAACCCCATAGCTATAGCATCTTCGGCTGCTTGTTGCCTCTTCAAAGCTACTTGTGCAGCCATAATTCGTTGCCTCTCTGCTATAAGATTGCATTTAGCACACGTACATTCTCGGAATCGACAGTGTCGTTTGTGTCCTTTCAGCCAGGAGATTACGCCATGGTTCCTACATCTTGCACACTTGGGACGTCTCACTCCTCTCTCTCCTGATGGAGGAGAAGGTAACATCATCCCTGGAGAATTCATTTCTAGATTTGTTACTAATGCTTTAATTCTAGAGTGATTTACTCTTTTGATATGTTACTAGAGATATTCCTGAAGATCTGTAAGCATAAAACAGAGTTATAACCGCCTGGTTCTAGTCTTTAAATTGATTTTAGTTTTTAAGTTAGGTTATAAGCGATAATCGGAGAGAAAACTCTGGTTAAAATTATTAAATTTTAAAGTATAAACTAAGTAAAACAATCGTAAATTAATCTGTGCACGGAGAGAAATTTCTTTATGTAAAATTCTATAAATTTTGCATATATTTACGAAATATTAACGAAGAAAACATTTAAAAACACGATGCAAGCTAGAATATATGTTTAATAAGTTGTACGAGTTATTAAAACGCGTGTAACTTAAGTAAAACGCTTATGAGACGGAAGAAATGAATGCGATAATTTAGTATTTTATGATAATTTAAACAATATTAACAAAGAATGAAGATTAATGTACAATTAACGAAAATAATAACATGAAAAGGCGATAAATCCTACCTTGTATCGTGATCTTGACAAATTGTTAAAAGCTTTCTAACAGATGCAGCGTATGTAGCAGGCTGACATCAAAAATGAAACATTCAACCGCTGATTGGTAGATGCTAGAAGAGCCTGCATCAGTGGGAGGTTTCTCTTCTCTGATTGGTGTAAAAGCATCTGTCCAACTGCTTACTCCAATAGGATGAAGTTACATCGGATCCTCTACGCAACCTCTTACAAGGGTCATTAGAAGCTATACCTCTGCCGAAAAGGTCTGCTTTTTTTGTATTTACTTCCGAATTTTTAAACAAAATCGACAACGCTGTACATTTTTTTTTTCGTAAATGTTTGTTAAATTTTTCATTTTGACCTCTTTAAATGAGGTTAATCTGTAAGAAGGATACATCCTGTATTTGGACATGATTTGCCCTATCAAATATCTCTGGGAAACATATTCTATGGACCACCCGTAGGCCTTCTACTGCCATCTTGTTACCAAACGATATTATTTCGTACTTTGGTTATTCATTTTTGATTATTTCTATAATAAAATTATGCCGAATTCTATCTGATTTAATACGTGTATTTATAAATATATTATAGTGAAANAAATATAACTACAAAAAATACTTTTAAGCAAAATTAAGTACGAATATTTATGTTTTATTGATATAATTTAATTTTTTTTAAGTGTAGAATTCGTAATTACAAAATTTCACTTCAAAGATGGCTTATAAATTTATCACGAAGATATAATTAAAATATAGCCATAACAGTTAAATTTTATATGAATTTTTTGGCATGGAACACCTCAATAATAAATAAATATTTGGATTAAAACGAAAAGGTCAAAGCATTTATCATAAAATTCGAAATAACGACGGAAGTTTAGTAGTTATAAATATGATTTTTCCCTATTTATAATTAGCAATTAATTAATTCTATAAATGATTATATATAGGCTTAGTCTCAAATATGGTACTGTTATTTTTTTTATACTCTTAGAGAGGGTCTCTCGTTCCTATTTTTCGGGATTTGTCCGATTTGGAACACTTCGTCTCGATCGGAAAATTTTCCCCTAAATATCCCATTTATTTATTCCTACTAAAAATATTACGATCTGAATTAAAAACAGTCAAATAAGAATTGTAGGCGGTAGGTGTATACCTACGCCACGTGTCCATACATGCGTACACTTTTAGTAATCTATGGCAGATTGTTAAAGGTGAACACCTTTAACAATCTGCCATAGATTACTAAAAGTGTACGCATGTTGGACCGTGTAATGACGGCTCCAAAATCGTCGATAGTTTTGTGTACTCATCGACGACGGATCAATGGTTACAATATGGCAATAGTCAACCTTTCATTTATTTATTTATTTATTACTTTTTCCGCTCTACGGGACCAAGAGGATCTTTATTTTTCATGTCCACAATGGAAGCAACCGGATTTCCAACACAAACTTAGTTGAAATAAGCAAGTCATACGTGTACAGTACAGTACTATCGGTTCAAAAAATAATAAAAAATTATATTTAGTAATTAATAATTCAATAAAATTGATTTAATTAGAATTATTCACTTATTTTCCAGAATTTCTACTGCCTATCTAATGCTGGGTATTCATCAAATTTTACCTTACAATGTCTCCCATTTCTTGTTTTGAATCATCTTAGTTTGTTTTATTAAAGCGATATTTTTTACAATATGTTTTATATGTTACACTGTAATTAAAATTTACTATTTACATAAAAATTTTACGGATTTTTATCTTTCTAAACTCCAGATAAATGTAAAGTGTCGCCTATTACAAATATCATTATAACAAAATGCGATAAGGAAAGGAGTTTGTAAAGTTGAATAACGTTTTATATTAATTCAATCGTAATATATTAAAATATAGACTATTACAACGATATATTAAATGCCAGTTCAATATTTTTCTAATATAATCTAAGGCATAAATTGTACAGATTGAAGACACAATAAGCATAATAATTATAAAAACATAGGCCTAAGTATTTTTATATAATAAAAATAAAAAACAAATTTATATTTTAATCCTTAATTATTCATTTTTACATTTGTTTCCTCTTATAATAAAGTGACTAAATATATAGGATTAAGCAAGGTAGATTTTTATTTTTACTTCACGTTCCTCACTTGAAAGAATCCAGTTAAACTGTCAATATTGTAGATTGTTTCATAAATTCTGTTTATTTTATTTTTAATAATTTCAATAAAGAAAGTTTTAAAAATATGTTTTTAATTAATTAATTTAATGAATTTTGCTATTGATAAAAATTATAACTAGAATTCATAATTTTCCACAATTTAATCCATGTCACTAACTATATATATGTTTTAATAACTGATATATTATGATAATGATTAGCTTGTTTCTTAATTAATAAAGCATTAATTAAGAGAAATTATAGTCACTTCAATTGAAAATAAACTCTCTTAGAAGAAGAAAGGAGGCATTTTTGCAATTGGAAAGTGTTTATAAATGATTTTATTATGTTTTTACTAAATTCTATACAAGATTTAAAATTATAAAGATTAATAAATAATACAGAGAAATAAATTTATACAAAGTCATTTTGTATATTGAACCAAGTAATAGTTTAGAAGAAAAACTTGCATATAAATTAATATAACTTTTATAAATTTAGGTAATTAAATTATAATTAATAAAAAAAATTAGAAATGTTTTTTACAATATTTTTTCCTATAAATTTCATGAAGAATAACTGTTTTTAAATATCATTCACTGAATCTGCTAATGCTTAACAACGAAGCATAGGTGACCATAAATAGAATGTAAAATGTGAAATTTTCTTGTAAATAATTTATTAAAAATATATTATGTATTATATAAAATGATGTAATTGATGAAAATCTTTTTAAAATGCTGAAGAAAATAAAATTTTGCGAATTTTTAAAAATATTAACAATCAATTAATTGTTAAATGATGGTTTAAAACAAATAATGATAATAAATTTTTATTTTAATATTAATTAGAATATACTGTACTTTAAAAACACTAAAAAATATAGCCTATATACTTGATTTTTTGTATAAAAAAAAACATTTAGTTCAATTATACACTTGGATATAGAATGTTGGCTCAATTGTATGTTTGGCTCTTTGCATGACAAACACTTGGCTCAATTGTATACTTGATTCTTTGTATATAAAACATTAAGTTCAATTATACACTTGGATTATTGGATCTTTATATAAAAAACTGCTTGGCTCAATTATATATTTGGCTCATTGCATAAAAAAACACTTTGTTCAATTGTATAATTAGCTTCTCGAGCATATTAAAAAGGATATTTGGCTCAATTATTGCCAATATTGAAACATACAAGTAGGATGTAATTTCCACAAGAAAACAATAAAAAAGTTGATTTTATATTTAAAAAAAAACTCAAAATTTTGTATGTTATACTAAAATATATATTTAAAACACTGAAAACTAGAGGCTTAAATTTTATTATCTGTTATTAGACCCTTGACTGTTTTTAATATTTAATATTAAGCACAAAAATATAATTTATATGGCAAGTTTTATTTTTTAGAATTTGCAAGTAAATAAGTTATAAATAAATCAAAGATATTTACAGAGGATTTTTGAAGAACTTATAGAATTGCCAATTCATTTCCATAAGAATATCGGACAAACGTGAGCGTATTTTGAATGAAGAATAGGTTGAAAATATGAATTTATTGGATGTCCGATTCGAAACTGGACACCTGACGATCCTAAGATGATAAATATAACAATATAGATGATAATTTCCTCAAAATTAATTGTATTATTCTATATTAAAGGTTAATAACTTCAATATAATTTGATATCTTTATTTATAAAGCGCTTTATTTTGTCAAGTTCATATTTAAAATGCTCAAAGAACTAAGATTTTAGGAGTTTAAGATATGCATAATTTAAAAATTAAAAAGTTTATTTATTTTATATAATATTAAAAAATATATTAGATAATTGTTAGCAGATATTTTAAATATGTTCTCTGTTGTGAGCTGTATCTTTGGTTAAAATTTTTAAGGATGAAGATAGATGAATCATCTAGCTCAATATAGTATCAAATAATAAATAAGTTAACTTGGCTACGTTAAATAGTTTTGGATCTTTCAAAACATTCCAGTTCATAAATGCCAACTATTTACAGGCAATTTCTAATGATTGAACTTATATTTTTATTTTTATATTTTTTTATTTAATAAACTATAAATTTATATTAAAAGTAAATTCATTTATCTCTCAAATTCTAATAAATTAATCAAATGATTACAATCGATATTTATGATAATACCTAAGTAAGTATAGAGTAGGTTGCAATTTACATTAGCTCTGATCTATGTTATAATTTATATTTTGTTAAATTTTCTAATTAAAAAACATGAAAAGTTATATTATATCAAAAATATCTTTAGGCCTACTATTAAAATTATATTTTTCACCATGTTTTAGGATCTAACTCAGTAAAGGCTAATGTTACCTGTGCTAGAATAATATATTTTAAAATAAAATTAAGCTACTGTACTTGATTTATTAAATATACAAAGACGGTTAATAACTTTAGAAAGTAATCGAATTTTCGAAATTAAATATTAAATTTATTCATTTATAATTTATTTTTTAAACTTAGAAATCTTTGAAATTTATTTTGCATATAATTTCAATAGTAGATAAGCCACTATCGACAAAACATATTCGCACCACGACTCTTGTCATAACAAAATTTAAGTGAGGATTATCAAATACATTCAATAGCCTTAAGGAAATCTGCTATTCTTCTATATTAATTATTCTGATAACATTTTAAAAATGAATTTTTAAGAAGTCATCATAAGCATCCATTTACACTTATTTACGTATAAAACCAGTTAGTCTAGTTTGATTACTGAACAAAGATTCAGACTTTTAGCTATTAACCTAATAAAATAAGTTAAGATCTTTTACTAATGATTAATAATAAACTATTTTTAGAAGTCCTTTCTTCATCACTCTGATGTTTTTTCATCGTAAATAGGCCTACGCACAATTATTAGCCTCGTATATTTTATTTTTCTAATAATTTTTATTATTATTATCAAATATCTTACCTCTATCGCTGTCGCTGTCTCTATCTTCTGGATCGGTGATGGCCATCCCGAATATAGGTCCCGGAGGAAGATACGAGATTGAAGTACCAGTGGCTACAGCTCTTAACCCCATAGCTATAGCATCTTCGGCTGCTTGTTGCCTCTTCAAAGCTACTTGTGCAGCCATAATTCGTTGCCTCTCTGCTATAAGATTGCATTTAGCACACGTACATTCTCGGAATCGACAGTGTCGTTTGTGTCCTTTCAGCCAGGAGATTACGCCATGGTTCCTACATCTTGCACACTTGGGACGTCTCACTCCTCTCTCTCCTGATGGAGGAGAAGGTAACATCATCCCTGGAGAATTCATTTCTAGATTTGTTACTAATGCTTTAATTCTAGAGTGATTTACTCTTTTGATATGTTACTAGAGATATTCCTGAAGATCTGTAAGCATAAAACAGAGTTATAACCGCCTGGTTCTAGTCTTTAAATTGATTTTAGTTTTTAAGTTAGGTTATAAGCGATAATCGGAGAGAAAACTCTGGTTAAAATTATTAAATTTTAAAGTATAAACTAAGTAAAACAATCGTAAATTAATCTGTGCACGGAGAGAAATTTCTTTATGTAAAATTCTATAAATTTTGCATATATTTACGAAATATTAACGAAGAAAACATTTAAAAACACGATGCAAGCTAGAATATATGTTTAATAAGTTGTACGAGTTATTAAAACGCGTGTAACTTAAGTAAAACGCTTATGAGACGGAAGAAATGAATGCGATAATTTAGTATTTTATGATAATTTAAACAATATTAACAAAGAATGAAGATTAATGTACAATTAACGAAAATAATAACATGAAAAGGCGATAAATCCTACCTTGTATCGTGATCTTGACAAATTGTTAAAAGCTTTCTAACAGATGCAGCGTATGTAGCAGGCTGACATCAAAAATGAAACATTCAACCGCTGATTGGTAGATGCTAGAAGAGCCTGCATCAGTGGGAGGTTTCTCTTCTCTGATTGGTGTAAAAGCATCTGTCCAACTGCTTACTCCAATAGGATGAAGTTACATCGGATCCTCTACGCAACCTCTTACAAGGGTCATTAGAAGCTATACCTCTGCCGAAAAGGTCTGCTTTTTTTGTATTTACTTCCGAATTTTTAAACAAAATCGACAACGCTGTACATTTTTTTTTTCGTAAATGTTTGTTAAATTTTTCATTTTGACCTCTTTAAATGAGGTTAATCTGTAAGAAGGATACATCCTGTATTTGGACATGATTTGCCCTATCAAATATCTCTGGGAAACATATTCTATGGACCACCCGTAGGCCTTCTACTGCCATCTTGTTACCAAACGATATTATTTCGTACTTTGGTTATTCATTTTTGATTATTTCTATAATAAAATTATGCCGAATTCTATCTGATTTAATACGTGTATTTATAAATATATTATAGTGAAAATTCGTTTTATTTTTTAAAAATCTTTCAAAATATCGCACATGTATTTTATTTTATTATTTTTTATATTATTTATCGAATTTCACTTTAATTTAAATTTAATATTGAATTTTAAAATATCTAAGCGACTTTTCTGTATTCAAAATAAGTTTATTTTTAGTCTAATAAAGAGTTTTATTTTAAAGTTCATATGATATTTAAATTAGTATACATTTAATTTTAATATATTTAATTATAGGCTATATAGGCCTACCATCGAACCTCCAATAGTGGCCACCTCCGAATAACGGCTTTTTAAAGTTTCCTTCAGTGTCCGTTTTTCAGAGGTTTGATTGTATATAACTAGTTTTATTAGCTGCTGATTGTTTTTAGGATTAAGATTTACTCATTTTTTAATGTTTTCCATATAAACTATAAGCTCTGGATTTACGTAGAAAGATATTATAAATATAGTCTATAGTATCCAATTAAAGTAATTAGGCCTAAATATAAGATGAAGTACGAGTTAGAAGAAGAGATAGTGTCTAAATTCAGGCCAGATAGAGAGGATGTGCCATTTTGTCAAACCTTAGTTTCAGGGGAGCAAAAAATTTAGTTTTTCTTTCTTTTTAATATAAAACACAATAAGAAAGTGATAAACATGAAAATTTCTTTTGGTAAGTGATAGAAAAAGTTAATTTTTATTTGTTTTATTCATATATTTTTATAGCTTTACTGAGAGGAGTGAGGCCTACATTTATAAGGAGTTTGCTCCAGATTCTATCATAAGGTCGTTTGTCTCCGGCCTCACATTTATATGTGTTTTAATAAAATCTGTGACAAATTAATCGTTCCATTGCATTTATTATGTATTAAGAACTTTTTAAATTAAATTTTATTATTTAAAAAAATACAATACAATATTTTTATCGTTTATATTAATATTTAAATATACTGGAACCCATATTTCTCTTTATTTGTGAGAGGTTCTGTCTGGTTCTGGTGTTATTGCACCTCTCTCAAGTCCTGGATATGCACAAATGCATTAAAATAATAATAATAAAATAAAAAAGTTTATGTTAAAGAAATTCTTTCACAGATAATTACTTATTATTAATAATATTATTTGCTGTAAGGCCTAGATTTTTTATTACTAATTCTATAGATTAAAACGAAATTATGCAAATTTATCAAGAGAAAAGTTGTTAAGCTTAATAATTATATCATATAGGCCTACATAAAAAAATCTAAATAGGCAAATTTATTAAATAAATTATTATTTTTTAATTATTTATCATATTTCTTTAACGTATTTCATGTCAAAATGATGGAAGAGATTGATATTAAAGGTTAAACTTGTTCTTGAAAAGCAGCTATTTATTGCATTTTCCTTATAATTATTTTAAATTAATTGATATTTTTATAATGTTAACTTAATGTTACATAATTAAAGAATAAATTAAAATTGTTATTTACATTCTACGCGTAATTATTATTCTAATTTAAAGCTATTGAATTTGAAGTTTTCGTATTTACGTAACTTTCTTTCCGTGAATTATTTCGAAATGTTTAATTTTTTTAAATATTTAATTATATAATTTGATAGATAAAAAAGATTTAGGAACAATTATAACTTCATAATTACTTAATTATATTTAATTAATACTGTATTATGTGAATATATGTGATGATTATTTAGTTTATAAGTTAATTATTATTAATTTATGATGATATTACCCCAAATTTAGTAAAAAGAAATGTAAATGAATTGCATGTTAACCATCCTAGTCAGCTAATGTAATGAAAATCCGAGACGGAAATGGAAACTTGTATAAAGTTTTATCTATTAAATAAATGTTAAAAACCTGAAAGAAAAAAGATTCTAGATTGTGAAAGCTGACAGATTGTAAAATGAGACAAATATTCTTTCTAGCAAACAGAAGAAAACCCGCTCCACAAACATAGCTTTGGAAGTAATGTGTTACTCTAGTGTAACCGGATTTTTTTGTCAAAGAACCGCCACAACTGGGCAAACTTGGAAAATAGAAGAGAGTGTCAACATGTTTTAAGTGAAGACTTTACGATGAGCCGCTTTTCAAGCTTGTTCTTCAAGGAAAGAATGCCATTTTTTTCATCTTTGCCGACTTTCAATTAAAATTCAAGATTTTGCGCTCTTAAAATTATATGTATACCACTAATTTATTGTTTTTTCCCTTATATTGAAAACAATTATAAAAACACATCTTTAACACGTATAATAGGACAATTACTTAATTATTAAGTTTTTTAAATAGCAAAATTCTACACAAGACCCGTACATTGTGGCAAAGTTTACACTGTTTTATGCATTTAGGAGTGCCAAGAGGGGTTTTTCCCCTATCTTAGGCCTCATAAGCGTTCGATCTGATGCAGATAAAAAAGGAAACAAAAGCTTTTATTAGCAGGAACCTATGTCATCACATTCGCGTTCGAGTTGTATTATTGCAAAAATTATTTTAAAACACATCAATTTCTATTTTTATTGTTACTTATGTTGCTACGACGATTGAAGGTATTAATGGCGATAAATTTAAACCCAAACAGGACAGATAAGTGTCAAGATTTGTAGTGGAGTAGGTACAAACCACTATTTACACAAGTTTGTGTCACATATGGGAGAGTATTAGCCAGCGGGGGCAAGAGCAACAAACACAATGTCAGCTAGTTTGATGACAACTTCCTACCCCTCTGTTAATTCTAAACCAAGTAATAGTGGGATGTGTGGGTGGTCGAATCCAATCCCTTCTGCTACTTGGTATGGCTGGATATATTAGGGATGAGTATCTTATTTATCGAATTTCTTTTTTCTTATATAACTATTAATAGAATAAATAAAGTACGTTAAGCTAAGTTTAATTATTCAACAAAAGACAGAAAATAATCTTTTAATGATTTTAAAAAATTAAAATTTAGTTTAAAAAAAAGGGAACAATCTCAAGCGCCATCTTTTGCTTGGAAATCGAAATATTTATTATAATTGTTAATTTTTAAATACATTACACTTAAGTATAAATCATAATTTTTATTATCATTAAATTAATTTAATATTTTTAAAATTATAAAATGTTAGATTAATATTTGTAGATCGGCGAATTTTATAATAACAATAATAATAATAATATTTTTCTGTAAGTTTGAGTTCTGCTACGAGAGGGCGCTTTGTATTTTGATTACACTTCGATCGAAGAGCATGGTGTTTTTAGTTGAATCTGTGAAGGGAAATTGAAGGTTTCCTAGTTAAGAAGAAATAATTTCAAATGAATAACTGAATATAGAAGTAGTATTAAATATATATATATATAAGTATTTTCAAGAATCATATATGATATAAAAGTTGTTGGTAATGTAAATATGAGTAGAGGTTACTTTCAGTGAAATTACATATAGATATATTTATATACAAATTATCTAAAAGTAACTACTACTAAATTATGAATTAAATGTATCATAATTTACATTTTTATTTTGTAATTTATTTATAAAAGTTTAAAATATTTTCTCAATTATTATTTGTATATAACCATCTATTAAAAATATATATTCCTGAAGGGTTTCAACAATATTCACAAATAGCTAATACTATTTTGTCTGAGATATGGTTCCTTTGCCTTTTTTTGCTCCTATGGGCTCTGTTAAGGTCCCAATCATTTCGTTCGGAGCTTGAATTGAGCCCAGTTTATTATGTAAACACCATGTACATTAACAAATTCAATGACAGTTCCATTGGCTTGTTTAGTGCAAGCATCGTGAAATTGGTTTGAACTAAAGTGTTAATATTGGAATAAGTTGAATATTTTAATTCTCATGATGTAATAGCAATATTAAGCTTGTTATTATAATCAAGCATTAATAATGCCTAAATTTTATAGTTTCTATATAAATAGAAGTGTAATTTAATTTTTATTGTTATTATTTACTGGTGTTTATTAAAATAGTGATATAATTTTAGCTTTAGTTATTGGGCAGTTTTGTCAAACAGTAATTAGTACATATTGATCTATCCTTATGAAATATTCAGGTTTAAATGTAGTAGATTTTCTTAAATTTATTATCATTGACTTATTTAAGATGTCATTTTCTATTTCTTCTCATGTGAATTGACTATTGCAGTCAGAACTGGTTCCATATTGTGCAGGGCCTTTCTAAATGCTGAGGCAAACCTTAACCAACTGTCGGGCTCTCTAAATTTAGGCCCTGTTCAAATGCATTTACTTATCAAAGAAGGTCAGACTGCAAGGCCAGGCTCACCTACAATTAGCAAAATTGAAATCATCCATACTATATGTTTGACAAAGTAAATAAAAATTAATTTATTAGTAACTGTTGGTAATTTAGTGATTTATTTCTTATCATATAGCTATTTTTTGTTGTTTGAATTTATTATTGAAGAATAATTTGTCATCAGATATGTAAATTTAGGGGGAAAAATACAGAGACTTTGATTGAATTAAAAATAACTTCTTTACTTACATTTTTTAATAAATAACATAAGATGCTATTTTAAATCATAGATTGGACAAAGGCCTAATAGAAGAATGATGGGCACTTCTGACACCACCTTCAAAATCCTCAAAATTGATGTTTGTAACTTTTGATTGGGGCATACCAGTAGTTCTCTGGTAGGTCACAATTGCTCCTTACATTCTTCTAATGTAAAACAAAGTTGAAAAAATTGAGAGGGGAATGCACTGCATTTATTTTCAGAATTGTAGATTGTTGTAGGTGCACAAGTTGTCAAACAAGTTGTCATCACTGGTCAAAAGTTGTTTTTGACCAGTGATGACAACTTTCCATCAAAAAAGGTAATAACTTTTTTGATGGAAAGTGTAAAAACATCACTGGTCAAAAACAACTTTTGATAAACAGTGAGAATCTGCTAGGAGTTTGTGAACTACAAAATATTATTGAGGTTCAAATACTAAATTGTACATAAATGTTCTTTTCTGATGATAATTTTTTGATTAATCCAGACATAAAATTATAATTAACATATTCACTGGGTTCTAAGTTAATAAAGTATTAATTGTGTTTAATAACAGTGTTTTTTTTATCAATTACCTATTGCTAAATAATAATAGAGTGCAAAATTCAAAATGACTAGAACTAGCCTGTATTACTGTTGCCAGGCTGTGGGGTCTACTGGCAAGACCTTTGCTCATCCAAATTATTATTAAATGTAATAAAATTAAAAACAAAAGAAAATAGAAAATTTTTTGATAGGTGCTAATATTCAAGAGAACTAATAATAGTATTTGAAAGTCATATTAGTGTTAAGTGTTAAGCAAAATTTCATTTTCATAAATGTTTATTTTCTAAATATATTGGATAATTTGAGTTAAATTTTATATTTTATTTCAGAATAAAAATTAAATTGCAAGGAAAATGTTAGTTCCTGTATTTACTGTAAATGTTAATCACAAAATATTACCTCATAGAGTCACAATTGGATTATACGATGGAATTAATCCATGTATTACAGCTGTAACTTCTTCTGATAAGGTATTACAATTAATATATTTTATATATTATGCATTCAAACAAAATTTAAATCTTTTATATTTTTAATTTAGATATTTATTCACAATCCACATGCTAAAGCACGGCAACTTGGAGGAAGACAAACGACTGGATCTTCATCAGAAATTAGTCTTTTAAATATAAATCAGACTATATCATCTGTTGCTGCTGGAAGATTAAAACCTGATGCTGCAGATATTTTGATTGTTGGAACTCCTACAAATGTTTTGGCCTATGATGTAGAAAATAATACAGATATTTTCTATAAAGATGTAAGTTTACTTAACTGTTGAGGCTCTTTAATTATCATCATCATTTATTAGAGTTAATTTAAATGTTTCAGGTAGCAGATGGAGCAAATTGCATTACAATTGGAGATTTAGGTAATAGACATAAACCTTTAGCTTTAATTGGTGGAAACTGTTCAATTCAAGGATTTGATCATGAAGGAAATGATTCATTTTGGACAGTAAGTGTCATTTTTTTATATATTAAATGATTTTTGGAATTCTGTACATATAAATATCTAAATTTTTATATGTATTATAAATACATATAGACAAATCCAAATTGTAGTAGTGATAAGGCTATGTTAAGTGTTAGCTAGAACTTGACTAATTAATTTCATAGATATTATGCAGTTTGGAGTGAAAATAAGAAGGTAAGATTATTCTGCTCTGGATCAAACTATTCTTCCAGAATAATCTAAATTAATCAATTTAATTCAAAAATGAATAATAATAATATTTAATACAAGACTGGCATAACTGCCTACCATAAGTCCAAATGAAGTAATTTTTGTGAATTATTCTTATCATTACCCTTACAGTTTTATTAACTGGGATAATGAAAATTTCTTATGTATGAATATAAGCATAATGTTTAATATATTTATTCAAAAAATATGCTTTTTATGGCATTAATTACTATTATAAACTAGCATGTAGAATTTAGATTAAGATTACATATTAATGCATTTATTACATATAATAGTTTCAATTTAAAAGCTTCTGGATAATATAAAGTCACTTTAACTGTGTATAATTTAGTATAAGAATGAATATTAGGTACAGTCAAATCCACTTTATACTGGATAAGGGAACAATTCATTTTAAGAGAGCAGTGTCTCATATTCCTGATTTTCTCCCCTATGTTTTACATTAGCTGGATTCCTGTTAACAGAGGACTGGATAACAGAGTTCATTTAAGTGAGCACCCAGTCAATGGCAATTTTAGAGCAGAAGTCCTCATAAGAGAGCACTATAATTTTAAGGAAGATTTAAAAGGATCTTCTATTTTTAACTTATGATACTGTATATCACCCCAGGATGCCTGTTCTTTGGTTATGTGAGTAGTAACATGAATATGTTAAGAATATCACATGGTATCAATTCATTTAGTGAGACCATTTGCTGAATGAGAGTGTGACACATTACATTCCCAACACATTCATATTACCACTTAAATAATTCAAGACTAGACATCCAAAAGGTGCATGTCAACAGGAATCTTTACACTATAATATTTGTTAAGATTTGGTGAAAGTTTTATTGTTCAGTTTTCTAGTAAATGGACAATCAAACAATTTCTCACAGAATCATAATGAACACATTGGTTTTACAGGACACACATATGAGAAGCAGTTACATATTGAAAAGGTATCATAAAATATATATGAACAAACCAGTGCAGATCACATGTAATCCTTAGCTGGAGGGAAAAAAGCAAAAAGTGATTAGAGACCGTATTTCAAATGTCATATGTCCTTACTTTAAGGCAATACTCAACTTATTTGTTTTTATACTGTATGTGTCATTAGAGAGCATTCAGAAATTTTGGAGCAAGGATGTTCACATCTTTTCGTCTAGGCCTTCTACTGTATTTCTGAGAATAAGTGAAAATAATTTGACTGGTAAATATATACTAAATTTACTGATTATTTGATCAAACAATAAAATTTATGATATAAGAATGGAAATCAGTATGATGTGTGTATAGTAAAATTATGTGATAATGAATTCTAACATTTCCAAGTATGTTTCCAAGTTACATAGCTTTCAAGACATGAAAAAATGAAAAGACTTGAATACCATTAACATGTGTTGGATAATCTGGTTACCTTGGGTAATAGAGCATGGCACAGCAATCCCAAGGGTGCTCACTTAAGAGGATGCAATTGTATTTGTATTGCATGACTACAGTAGTTAGTATATTAGCTTTGTTTTTTAATCAAGTCATTTTTTTTTTGCTTCTCCGTAATTACTTTTACACGATTCTATCTTTTAAAGTTCTTTCATTTTTATTACAGTTTCAATTTGAATTTTAGTTTCTTAGTTACAATTTTGTATAATGTACTTCAATATATATGAAATTATTTTCATATACATTATTCAAATTTTTATGAAATTATTTGATAGGTGACAGGAGACAATGTGAGTTCAATGTCATTGTGTGATTTTAATCAAGATGGTTTAAATGAGGTTAGATATATTTTAATATTTTTATTGAATTAATGTAAAAGCAGTTCGAAAAATTTTATAAGAGCTTTTCATATCATGTTTATTAAATATAAATTTTATATAATTATCTATTATATTATTCTCAACTGATGATTTAC